ACTGCAATATAATTGCCATCACTCGATGTTGCAATATTTTCCAAACAGATAATATCCTTTTCTATAAGATAACAATTGTCGGAAGATTTGATTGAAATAATAAAATGAGAAAATTCAACCTTCGAAAAATGTGGATTGAAACAACCTGATATTAACGGTCCTTTCTCATGTCGATTCTTTACACATATTTTTGAAATGTCTGCATTGTTAGATTTGATTTTATGAAAACTCATTTCCGCATAGCGATTGTTAATTTGCTCTAATGGTTTCTCAGATTTTCTTAAAAGAGATTTTAATTCCTTCATAAAATTTTCAAATGGAAAAGCACTAAAAGTATCTAATGGCCCAAATTGTTTTACGTTATCAGTTATATGCAGAAGACCGTGAATATTATGGGATACAAATTCGGGCCCGTAAATTTTGATGAAACATTCAACAAAATGTTTAAATAATTTATTTGCATATTCAATATATTCGACTGTACTATTATTTTGACATAAAATGCGAATAGCAACATGTAAAGTTAAAAAGTTTGAAAATATATCAGAATTTACTTTTTTTTGTAATACAATCGGACCGGTATATAACAAAAATTGCCTTAATTCGATTGCTTTCCATTGTGCAAAATCTTGAATTTCTCGCGGTCTTCTTGCAAATTCTTTTGGAATAAAACGTCTCATATCGAGAAGAGATTGAGAAATACTTTTTATTCGTTGCGATGATAAACATCTAGATTTAAGAGGACCACTTATCTATAATTTTATTAATTTTTTAACAATGCCAATGCATATCAAGTGCATGTAATCTAATGGAATTTGAGATACAATGTCAAAATTTTAAATGTTTAATAAAATAGAACGACCGAGATGATATTCTTCTTGAGTTTGATTACGAAAACTCACGTCTGTTCTTTTTTGCCAATCAAAACAGGGAAAACAAATTCTGTTAGCGATAAATTCACCTTCAATTGTACATTTTGAACAGCTAAAATAACCAGTATGTCCTTTAGTAAGTGTTATGAATGATTTTGCAGGAGCATCACATATTATAGAGTGTATTAAAACTGGAAATGTTGTTTTGTTATAAGTTACGCCTTTATCAATCAAAACATTTATATCTTTTACAAATTGTTTTAAAAATTTATTTGCATCCGCGGGCTTGGTTTTACCAAAATAGCAACCAATAAGAAATATTTTTCCATGAGGCATAATTCGACCTAAAATGGGTCATAATTGATTCGAGTTAGATCGAGATATCGGCAAACCATCAATACCGATTTGAATTTTAATAGAAGATAAAACTGTACTATTATTCATACCATTACTTGCAGATAAAAATTGTAGAATACCGTATTCAATACCGATATGACAATATTGACCAGGAAACATATCAGTAATAACAGAAGATCGTGGTGTACGTAATAATGTCTTTGCACATTTTGGCAAATTAAAAAAAATTGGATGTACTTTTTTCAAACCAGACAATAAATGTGATAAAGCTACGTGAGAAATACGATGCGTGATAGCCCATTGTATTAAAAATGCCTCAAAATCATTGTTTCTTTTTCTAAATTACTATTATTATCATCCTCTATTATAAAAGTTCGTACAAATGTATTGTTCAAGGAAGTATCAGATTCGAAAATGTTCGTTTCCTCGGAAAATGATAAATTTGTTGTCTCTTGTACAAATGCGGAAAGAGCGTTATTAAAATTGGCGTGTAGAATTTCATCATTGTCATTATTCAATACGGAATTATTTTCAATTACACGCGAATTGGTTCTAGGTTCTTCATTATTACATATAAGCGGAAATAATTCATCACTCTCTTCTCGAATTGATCTACGGCGATATCTCGTTGAAATACGCGACGGATATTTGCGCTTCGGCATGATTATATATATATTGTTGTGTTTTAATATAAATGAAAATTATTTAGTAAAAAATATAGACTATGCACTTGCCTTATTTTCTGGATAACTCCTGTCCTGTCCAGTATATAGTATCTTCTTTTCTGATAGCAATACGTGCGTCGGACACAATCCACCGTTTCGGAAGAGAGGATCAGGAATGCGAAGCGGAGTGCGATCAACAACGTCGTTGCAATCGTCGTTGCTAATGAACAAACATAAATTAATTTACGGCGATATTTTGTTGAAATACGCGACGGATATTTGCACTCCGGCAAGATTTTATATATGTATATATATATAATTATTGTTATGTGTTTTATTATAAATGAAAACTATTTAGTAAAAAATACGGATTACGCACTTGCCTTATATTCTGGATAACTCCTGTTGTCCAATATAGTATCTTAATTTTTCCTGATAGCAATACGTACGTGCGTCTGACACAATCCGCCGTCTTGGAAGAAAAGAGCGGGAACGCGAAGCAAAGCGCGATTAACAACGTCGTTGCTATGATCAACGACGTTGCTATAGTTGCTATATATATATATATATATATATATATATATATATATATACATATATAAAATCTTGCCGAAGCGCAAATATCCGTCGCGTATTTCAACAAGATATCGCCGTAAATTAATTTATGTTTGTTCATTAGCAACGACGATTGCAACGACGTTGTTGATCGCACTCCGCTTCGTATTCCTGATCCTCTCTTCCGAGACAGCGGATTGTGTCAGACGCACGTATTGCTATCAGGAAAGAATTAAGATACTATATTGGACAACAGGAGTTATTCAGAATATAAGGCAAGTGCGTAATCCGTATTTTTATTAAATAGTTTTCATTTATATTAAAACACATAATAATAATTATATATATATAAAATTATGCCGAAGCGCAAATATCCGTCGCGTATTTCAACAAAATATCGCCTTTTCATTTGAAAATTTTATGAAGGAATTACAATCTCTTTTAAAAAAATCTGAGAAACCATTAAAGTAAATTAAAAAACAATCGCTATGCGGAAATAAATTTTCATAAAATCTAACAATGCAGACATTTCAAAAATATGTGTAAAGAATCGACATGAGAAAGGACCGTTAATATCAGGTTGTTTCAATCCACAATTTTCGAAGGTTGAATTTTCTTTACAAACATTGAATTTTCTTATTTTATTATTTCAATCAAATCTTCCGATAATTGTTGTCTTATAGAAAAGGATATTATCTGTTTGGAAAATATTGCAACATCGAGTGATGGCAATTATATTGCAGTCAGTCGTAAATTTAAAGTTGTTGAAGAACTTTATAATAATATATGTAATTCTAATCATTTAAACATTTTTAAAGTAATTGAATTATCTGACATTCACACAAAGGTGGCCTTTGAATAAAATCAATTACAAATTGGTAAAATTGCCATACAAAAATAAAAGAGTATTTCGCAGTGATACCGTTTATAAGTACTGCACATTTATAATATTTGTATCTTGAGTTTTTATTTGTTTAATAAAAAATTAAAGTAAATTTTGATAAAATTTTGAATTGAGACAATCTTTTTTACACATACTATATATATATATATATATATAGTTTATACAAATCGATATCTTTGTTAACATGATTACTCGTAAATGCTTTTTTTAAATTTCACAGGAAGATGTCGTATCGAGGATTCATCGTGGTTGAATTCTCCGATGGTATTCAACTAATATCTAAAATTTGGCTACAAAGTAATAAGGAATTATGCAAATATCCTTCACATTTAAAAACGGATTAACAAATTCGTAAGGTAATTGAAAAAGAGGAAAAGCCGAGTTCTTCCAGGTCTTCCTTTAAAATTAAACGGATTTTTGGCGAGTATTGTAATTATTTAAATAAAAAAGTTTTCATGACGCTTCAGTTTTACTTATTCATTATACTTATATTAATATATTTTTAACATTTTAAGCGTCCTTACAGAAAGCTGATGCGATAGCAGAAAAGGCCTTATATACATCAGATATGAATACTGAAAAAGAAACGAAAAAGTATAGAAAATATAAAGCGAGAAAAGATATATATTCATCCGAAAGGGAAGAAGAGGGCACAAGTGCAACTTTACCGTCTGCTCCATGTCCTCCTGTAAAACGTAATTATGAATAATTCTAATATTGCATATATGTATGTTAAATACATTATATATATTATATGTTAAATGCATAATAGAAAAACTATAAATTTTACATGTATATAGATATAAAATTCATATCTTTTATGTGTGTGTGTGTGTTTAACATATATTTTATTATGCATATAACACATATTGTGTTTAATCAAATTAAAGGTCAACGACTGTACAATACAAATGAAGCAGTTCAATGTGAAAATACATCAGGTTCCACTATATATTTTTCGGATTCTACAAAAAAACACAAAGGATCATCACAAATTTCAAACTTGAACTCCACATCATTTCAACAAGGTGAGTAAATTCATTACATATTTCCATGTAATAATATAATACACACGGTAAAAAACATTTTGTATTTCTGTTGAAATTATCTCGTGTAGAAATTTTTGTGTTAAATTTTTAACATACTCTTATGTTAATGTAATATATTGTCGTTGTGTTATTTTGACATTTCTGTGTTGAGTTAATATTTACTGTTTTTAAGTGTTGAAACAACACAATTAAATAAAAATGTACGAATTCTTGATGCTATATTTTATATGTTAAATTAACATACTTATAAAGTTAAATTTAATTAAAATAAAATGTAATTTTTACATTTTTTGAAATAGTTGTTTAAAGGTTTTAATGAAATTCAAATGTTAAATTTACATTACCGGTCTGTTAAGAATTCTATATTTTAACATTAAAAAAATGTTAACGTAACATTTTTTAAATGTTTGTTGTAACTTATAAACAGATAACTTATGTTACTTTTCTCTCTATTACAGTTTTTATCTGTTAAATCGACATATCTTTTATGTTATTTATCATAAAGAGATATCGTCTTTTGTTTTCTGGCGGTTATTGAGTGCGACAAATTGCTGCGCGACTGCGCGACGGCTAAAGCTATCTCGCAGTCTCTTGATATACGTGCTGAAGCACGTGCTATTGTGTGGCCACTGCGTGCTTTGCGTATGAGTATCGCAAATAAGTGAGTGATCCTTTCAGTAATATATAAGATAAGTGAAACTAACACTAAGGTGCACATATGTGGTAAGAAAATTATTATTTCAAATAATATAATAAAGATTATGTCTTGCAGGCATTGTGAATATATTAATGGAAATATGATATAGTAAATGAGTTTGATACTTTTCCGTTAAATAGATTGATAAATAGATATATTGATCAATAGCAATCGGTTAGCATATCTTAACATGTTTGCAATCTTATAAATAAATTGATTAATTATAATCTTTATAATCTAACAAGTCGATTTAACAAAAATTATAAACGTGAAATGTATGATAGCAAATGAGAACAGTGATTAGTCAATTACTTTTAGTTTTACTGTTTTTTATGTATCAAATGTTGTTTTAATGTTAATATATTAATAAATATCTGCATAATCTTCTCTATTCAATGTGTATAACTAACCATAACTGTAGAGTTTTTATATTTCATATTAATATAGAATAAGTATGGGCCAAAATCGAAGAACCATATACCTACAAACATTTTATTGAAAAAGGTCATTTTTTAACATATTTTTATTAATATATATTAAAGTTTTATCATTTTTATTTAATTGCAATGTATATTTCATTGTAATATATGTTTACAGCTGAAAACATTTTTCCATCATTAAAGAATACAGAGTTTATCTTTACGGATGAAAATGATGCTAAACTTCAACCAGACATTTTATCAGAATTTGTTAGAATAAATCCACGAGGCGTTATTATAAAATTAAAACAACGACAAATATTGATATTTGTAAGTATGAATAGTATACATATTTTATTACATTTTCTAATTTCTTTTATATTTTGTTTATTTTTAAAGAACATTACAATTTTTTTTATATAGCATTGTCGCATATCCCTAAAGAAGTAAATCAACCATTTACAAGTTCAGATGTGTGTGTGTGTGTGTGTGTGTGTAGATACATGTTCTATTAGAAGTTCCGTTCTATCAGAGTTCTCAAATAGTGAGTATAAAGAAAATGCATCGTCCTCCAAAAAATATAAATTAGATGCTACCGTTTCTGAAAGTAATGAAGTTATATCAAAAGAGGTATGTTAAATTTTTCTTTTTTTATAAATTATAAAATAGAAAATTAAAAATAAAAAGTTTGTTGTATTTCTGTTCTTTTAGAAGTTGCATGAAATAATAAAAAATTTTGCGTGCGGACAAGAAATACTTGACAATTATGAAAAAAATAAATATTTATCAGAAAAGTACAGAAAGCTTTTCATAAAAATTGTTGTGCAAAGTTTATTAGAATATAAAAAAAAAGTAAATAGACAAATCTATTCTTGGGAAAAGTGTAATTATGCACAAGCAATTATTGAACTCTTCCCAAATTTAAAAAACTGTGAAGGTGATCTTGGCTATGTAAGTTTTTATATTTCAACTGTCATAACATCAATTTTTATTATATATATATATATATATAAATATATAATATATAAATAAATATATAATATATAAATAAATAAATAATATATAAATAAATAAATAAATAATATATAAATAAATAAAATACAATATTATTTGTATATGTTTTTAATAGTACTCTCATGTTAAACAGTTTACAAAAACTAAAAATTGCTTTCTACAAATATTAATTTATAAATTATATGAATTTGGTAAAATATATAAATGCAATCTTGTTTTATATATATATATATATATTTTTCCATCATTAAAGATGGAATAAATAAAATACAATATTATTTGTATATGTTTTTAATAGTACTCTCATGTTAAACAGTTTACAAAAACTAAAAATTGCTTTCTACAAATATTAATTTATAAATTATATGAATTTGGTAAAATATATAAATGCAATCTTGTTTTATATATATATATATATATATATATAAAACAAGATTGCATTTATATATTTTACCAAATTCATATAATTTATAAATTAATATTTGTAGAAAGCAATTTTTAGTTTTTGTAAACTGTTTATTATATATATTTATTATATATGTTATATATATATATATATAAAACAAGATTGCATTTATATATTTTACCAAATTCATATAATTTATAAATTAATATTTGTAGAAAGCAATTTTTAGTTTTTGTAAACTGTTTAACATGAGAGTACTATTAAAAACATATACAAATAATATTGTATTTTATTTATTTATATATTATTTATTTATTTATTTATATATTATTTATTTATTATATATTATATATTTATTTATATATATCTGTTTACATATCAAAGAGAATATTTTATACTTTTGCATTATGCATAATTGTTTATTAATATAATTTTATAGGAACACTTTTATAATCCTAAAACTGGGACTGGATATATTGCTTCACGTTTATCAAATGTACAACGAAAGGGAAGCATCTCAAAAGTAATTGTGGATAACAAACAAAAAGAAAATATTGATAATAATATAACAACTGAGTCTGTTGATGAATCGGACATCATTAAAGATTCAATCAATTTTATGAAACATGCAACATTAGAACAGAAAGACCAGATTATAGAGAAAACTAAAGAAACTTTTAAAGTTCGTCGATATTTATATTTAAATGAGAATTTTTTTAACGTATTTCCAAGATTTTTGGATATGCCTGAACTGGTAAGCACCATTACTTAATTGTAAAAATATAATAAAAGTTATCTTGCACCTTAACTCAAAAGCTCAATTTTACAATGTTATGGTTAATTACTCATTTTTCTTAGTTTATTTTTATATATACATAATTATTTTATATTATAACTATATTCTTGCCAAGCTGAAGTGTATATAAAACTTGTTTGATTTACAAATAGCAATATCATATAGAAATTTTTTCTGCGTATTCTTTTTATTTTTAAAACTAGATTTTTAATAAATTTTTTTATTTAGATTGATGTAGAATTTAATCTACTTTTTCCTGAAATTGATCCAGATAGATTTTGTAAGATATATCCATAATATATCGATGCTATTTTGTCAGTTTTTGAAACTAAAAAAAATAAAATTCCTCTTGGTACGTTAATTTTTTTATATGGAAATTACATATTAATATTATTAATATTGATTTTTAACGTGTTTTAATATTTTATTTTTAAGAATGGAATCTTATTACTAACTCATTTATTGCCTTGGAACTATTATCAAGAGACACGGTAGTGTCTCGCGACCAGTTAAGGGCGTAGCCGAGACACCGTGTATCTTAACGCGAGTCGGACATTTGAGTCTTTATAATATTTCGAATTCTCAATAACGGCTGAAGCAATCGAGTTTATACTAGACTTAATCGATAGATTGAGTTTGAATTATATAATAAAAGTGTCTTTATTTCTGCTCTACGTGATTTGTAAGCAGAGATATATAATTGCAAAGTCGAAATATGAAAAATTTCTTTTAAGAAACGTCCCCGTCATCATCGACCACGCAAACATAGTAGTATCGTGCTACACGTATTCACACGTATACAACACATGCGCACACATATATCACACGTACACAACACATGAATAGATGCATGTATTGGAAATGTCCATCTCGCACGTTTTACAACAGACGGCGATAGTATGTCGCTCCATGATCCATGATGTTAGGTATATGTGTCAGATCAGATGTCAGATTTGATGACATGTAACCTCTTTGCATGTAACATGTATGTAAATTACATTCCCTACAATGTTATGTTACATATTAGTTGTAATTATATAAATCTTATATAAATGCCTATGTATGAGTATGCATATATTTTTAATATATAGCGGTGTCTGTGCTATATCTTCAAAAAGCAAAAAATGCTAAAAGAATTTATGCCACATGTAAACATATTAAAATGAACAATGATGGTTACAAGAAAGAGATCTTTCCAAAACACTAAAATAAAATATTTTTTCATTAAGTATTTTTCGAGTTATTAAGGCTGCAAATTTGCAGTATTTTGACATAAAATACAAAATATCTTGGGAAATATGCATTTTTCGATTATCATACCTTAATACTTTTATGCACAGAATAATGAGACGAATCAGTTGGTGTAAAGAAAACACATAGTTATCTTTAAAAAAAATATGAAAATTGCAATAAGCAGTTAAATAATTTTTCTTTAAGACAACTATGTGTTTTCTTTACACCAACTGATTCGTCTCATTATTCTGTGCATAAAAGTATTAAGGTATGATAATCGAAAAATAAAAATTTCCCAAGATATTTTGTATTTTATGTCAAAATACTGCAAATTTGCAGCCTTAATAACTCGAAAAATACTTAATGAAAAAATACTTAATGAAAAAATATTTCATTGTAGTGTTTTGGAAAGATCTCGAAGTCAGCTACAAAAGTATGCAAGAAAAAATATAGTGTTCCATTTAAGAAATTAAAATTGACCTTCACGTAACCTTCAAATGGTTATTCAAGGTCAAATCAATGACACCATCTCATGTCCCCCTTGAAACCATACAACTTTTATCTGAAACATTTTTGTCTTAAACTTTTAGATTTTGAGAAATTACAAATGATATTGAAATGTATAATTATAATATACAAGGTAGGCCATTTTAATCTTCGGACTAAAATTTCTCAAAATCCAAAAGTTCAAGACAAAAATGTTTCAGATAAAAGTTGTATGGTTTCAAGGGGGACATGAGATGGTGTCATTGATTTAACCTTGAATAGCCATTTGAAGGTTACGTGAAGATCAACTTCAATTTCTTAAATGGAACACTATATTTTTTCTTACATACTTTTGTAGCTGACTTCGAGATCTTTCCAAAACACTACAATGAAATATTTTTTCAATAAGTATTTTTCGAGTTAGTAAGGCTGCAAATTTGCAGTATTTTGACATAAAATACAAAATATCTTGGGAAATATTCATTTTTCGATTATCATACCTTAATAATTTTATGCACAGAATAATGAGACGAATCAGTTGGTGTAAAGAAAACACATAGTTACCTTTAAAAAAAATATGAAAATTGCAATAAGCAGTTAAATAATTTTTCTTTAAGACAACTATGTGTTTTCTTTACACCAACTGATTCGTCTCATTATTCTGTGCATAAAAGTATTAAGGTATGATAATCGAAAAATGAATATTTCCCAAGATATTTTGTATTTTATGTCAAAATACTGCAAATTTGCAGCCTTATTAACTCGAAAAATACTTAATGAAAAAATATTTCATTGTAGTGTTTTGGAAAGATCTCGAAGTCAACTACAAAAGTATGCAAGAAAACATATAATGTTGCATTTAAGAAATTGAAGTTGACCTTCACGTAACCTTCAAATGGCTATTCAAGGTCAAATCAATGACACCATCTCATGTCCCCCTTGAAACCATACAACTTTTATCTGAAACATTTTTGTCTTGAACTTTTGGATTTTGAGAAATTTTAGTCCGAAGATTAAAATGGCCTACCCTGTATATTATAATAATTATACATTTCAATATCATTTGTAATTTCTCAAAATCTAAAAGTTTAAGACAAAAATGTTTCAGATAAAAGTTGTATGGTTTCAAGGGGGACATGAGATGGTGTCATTGATTTGACCTTGAATAACCATTTGAAGGTTACGTGAAGGTCAACTTCAATTTCTTAAATAGAACACTATATTTTTTCTTGCATATTTTTGTAGCTGACTTCGAGATCTTTCCAAAACACTACAATCAAATATTTTTTCATTAAGTATTTTTCGAGTTATTAAGGCTGCAAATTTGCAGTATTTTGACATAAAAAACAAAATATCTTGGGAAATATTCATTTTTCGATTATCACACCTTAATACTTTTATGCACAGAATAATGAGACGGCAATGTTTAGGAGAATATTTTTCGAGTATGGTAAGACAAAACGCGTACGATTTTCTTACGGCACTTTGCGAAAAATATGATTGCATTACAAATTTGATACAACATCAAGTAACTTCTACCAAGCGATGCAAAACATGTGGTAATACAAAAACTATTGTTGAAAATAATATTGCTATTTCAATTTCTCTTGATAATTTAAAGAAAAAAAGTTGTAATCTTAATGAATTATTAAATTCTACATTTTCACATTGGTTTCATTTACACAACGAATCAGAGACCCCTCCCCGACCGCGCAGTCAATGACTGCGCGGTTTCGTCCCGGTTGCGGCGCAGGGCGACACCGACCCCACGCCGCGCCCTCCTAAAGAGTTTGGGGGGCGGGGCCATGGCTCGAGAGCTCCCGCTCGAGCCATCGCCCCCCGCCTCCTCGGTGGTCGCGACCCTCAGATCCCCTAGAGAGTGATCCGGTTCGGCGTTCCACCAGGGGAGCCCTCACCAGAGGGCTCCTCTCTGAAGGAGAGGAACCCTCTTCCGTGGACGGCGTTGTCCTCCCCCCGGGTGCCTCATGGCTCCCGGTGAGAGGGCCCCACGCGTCACGTCCTCACAGAGGGGGACCCAGGCGCCCCGGCCGGACTGGTGATGCTCGCCCGCCGGGGACACGTGGCCCCCCCTCGGCCCCCCCGGCTGCGGCTCCTTCCGCTCCCTTGGGAGTTAGGATTTGGCCGCAGCCGAAAGAGTTTTCCCTAACCGGGCGCGCAGGGCGCCCCCCCTTAGTGAGGTGACGCGCCCACGCGCCCGGCCCGCGTGAGGCTCCCGGGGGGGAGGGCCTTTGGGACTTAGTTGTCCCCCCCCCCCCCGGAACCCTCATCCCGCGTCAATTATTGACTTGTGAATATTGTACTGGAACTGATCAAATATTAAAAAATGAAGTAACATTAACAAGAGAAATAATTGTTATTCGTTTAATACTATTTTTAGCACAAGATGCTAAATTAATAAAAGCAGAAAACAAATTTAATTTATGTGCTGTTTCAACAACTAAAGTATTAATAGCGGGACAGTTGTACAAGACGATGAGTGCTATACTTTATGATAGTTCGTGCACCGATGAAGGTCATTATGTAAGCATATGTAGAGAAGGACTATCTAATATTTGGATCGAAATAGATGATGCAGAAGTAAAAAAGAGACAGTGGCCTAGAGGTGTTAAAAATGTTTATATAATATTTTTACAAAAAATAGGTAATAAATAATACCAATTCGATATAAAATAAAGTAGTTATAAAATTCTTCCTAAATAGATTTTTATAATATCAAGTTTATGACTATTACTATTTAATCATTTAATATTGTATTTCAATCAGTCCTATATAAAAAAAGATTTCGTAATATATTAGCAATTTCATGACAACGCTTTACATTCTGCATTATTCGTGAAGTGCAAAAAAATATTTTTTACTTAAAATACAAGATAATTATTTTTATCTATAATAAGCAAAGAGGACCATCGTATTTTGAAATATGACGGGGGTGGTGGCGGGTTCTTTGCTTATTTATGTAAAGATGCTTATCATATACAAAAATGAATGATATAATCTCTAAAAACTCACCTTTAAAAAAGGTAAAAAAAGGCGACCAGTTAAGGGCACGCCATTAACAAAAATTATTTATTGCAAACCCATGTAGAATCCTATCCTATTGCAAACCCATGTAGAATCCTATGAAAAATTAATCATTGCAAACCCATGTAGAATCCTAGGCAAAATTAACCATTGCAAACCCATGTAGAATCGTACCCATTGCAAACCTATGTGGAATCCTATGAAAAATTAACCATTGCAAACCCATGTAGAATCCTATGAAAAATTAACCATTGCAAACCCATGTAGAATTGTATAATATTAAAAATTATCCATTGCAAACTTATGTAGAATCCTACATTGCAAACCCATGTACAATAGAATTGTATGAAAAATTATCGATTATAAACCCATGTACAATCGTAACAAAAGTAATGAAATAAAAAAAAATTGCGACAAGTGAAAGTAGAAACTTGTACCAGTGGAAAATTAAAGTTGCAGACATATATATAGTCGTATAATGAATCAGTAAAAATTTAAATTTGCAAATGTAGAATCGAACCATAAAAAAACTTATCTTTAAAAAAAAAAGATAAACAAGATGCCAAGTCCATTAATATAAAATAAAAAGAAATAAAAAAATTGTAGTTAAAAAAACTGGGCGCGCTGCTAAGTTTCAAAATTACAATGCACCTTAAAGTAACATTAATTAATTTAAACACAAAACATATTTTAACTGCAATGAGTTTAAAAATAACAATTTAATTTTAATATCATTAGAATATTATTTAGCACCTTAAAGTAACATTAATTAATTTAAACACAAAACATATTTTAACTGCAATGAGTTTAAAAATAACAATTTAATTTTAATATCAGTAGAATATTATTTAGCAGCGTGCCCAGTTTTTTTAACTACAATTTTTTTATTTCTTTTTATTTTATATTAATGGACTTGGCATCTTGTTTATCTTTTTTTTTTAAAAGATAAGTTTTTTTATGGTACGATTCTACATTTGCAAATTTAAATTTTTACTGATTCATTATACGACTATATATATGTCTGCAACTTTAATTTTCCACTGGTACAAGTTTCTACTTTCACTTGTCGCAATTTTTTTTTTATTTCATTACTTTTGTTACGATTGTACATGGGTTTATAATCGATAATTTTTCATACAATTCTATTGTACATGGGTTTGCAATGTAGGATTCTACATAAGTTTGCAATGGATAATTTTTAATACAATTCTACATGGGTTTGCAATGGTTAATTTTTCATAGGATTCTACATGGGTTTGCAATGGTTAATTTTTCATAGGATTCCACATAGGTTTGCAATGGGTACGATTCTACATGGGTTTGCAATGGTTAATTTTGCCTAGGATTCTACATGGGTTTGCAATGATTTATTTTTCATAGGATTCTACATGGGTTTGCAATAGGATAGGATTCTACATGGGTTTGCAATAAATAATTTTTGTTAATGGCGTGCCCTTAACTGGTCGCCTTTTTTACCTTTTTTTAAAGGTGAGTTTTTAGAGATTTATAATATACAAAACTATATATTATTTCGGTATACTAATAGAGTTTTACTAATAAACGGAAATGTAGATTTTTGAAATTTACATGATATATATACACACATTTATTCGTTTATTAATAATTAAAAATGCTATTTACAGTGGATCATTTAAAGAGATTGACTAGAGAAATAGCAACTGTAAAATACGATATGAGACAAGCACTATCTCTATTGGATATTTTAGTGGACAAAAGCAACAGAAGTACAGAATGTGAAAATATGAGATTTTCTTACGAAGGCGCTGAAAGTCGATTTCCTTTAGAAACTAGAGCCCAATTAACGGAAATTGAGGAAGTTTTAAAAACTGCTAATTCCCAAGAGAACACTGAAATAGTAAGTTAGCACATATCTATATATTTTAGTAACTGAATACATAGGGTGAACCATTCATAAACGTTAACGATACTTTGTAAATTTTGTAAAATGTACGGTCTGTCCCAAAAGTTCCCGAACTTTTGGGATAGACCGTGTATGTATCCTAAAATATGCATATGAAGAAATGTCTTATATAACAATAATTAGTGTCATGGTTTTAATACGAGGGACATATGATAGGACCATATAATCTTTGCTTAGCCTTTTTTTTATCAAGATGTAAAGGTCACTTTCATTTTTTAATTAAGGATACCCAACAACATTTAAAAAATCGAAAGTGACCTTTACATATATTTCGATAAAAAAGCAAGAGAGCAAAAAAATAACTGGTATGGTATTATATATGTCCCTCTTGGTACTTGCAACTTTTGTCTAAAATCTTTTTCTTAATTGAATGCATATGTTACAAGATATTTTTGTCATTAACATTATAAATGGTTCACCCTATATATAATATATTTCTAATTATTATAAAATTCATAAGTTTATTGCATAATCAATTTTCAGTAAATGTTTCAATTCACAATAAAATGTATTATGGAAAATAATTGGAAATTGCTGTTAAGAAAAAGAGATCGTTATTAACTTTAATAATAATATTACTTTTATTCTTATTATAGCGCGCATATATACAAGCAATTGGTGGAACAGGCGTCGATGATGCGGTAAAGAGAACACTTTATAAAGTATTCTCAAATAAATTGGCGGAAAATTACAATTGGGAAGGCCGACGTGGAAAATATCCATTACAAAATTTAGAGTTAATGAAAGTTATTTTCAGTAAGTTTATACGTTGTTTATAAATAATTAATTTATAAACAAAAATGCCTTTGAATATATATACAGAGTGTATAAAAAATACCGAACGGTGAAATATCTCGAAAATTAAACATTAAATATTTTCAGGATCCATACTTTACAATATCTCGGATTCTGTTCGAACAAAAATACAACGAAGAGTCATGGAGTGGTTTAGGCATTCCAAGGCAAGATACAATAATGAAAAAAAGCGGACCGTTAGAGACGAAAACAATGGTTCACCCGATCGCCATTCATCAATGGAAAATTCAAATTAATAATTTATAAAAGATCTTAATAATCTATAATAGAGAAAAATCTATAAAAGATCTATAAAATTAATAATATATAAAAGAAAAAATACATTATTATAAAATAGTAAAAAATATATCAATTATTTTATTTAATACCACATAGCTTGATAATTTTAATTTGTTGTCACTATTTTTGTTTATGTGCAATAATAATACATCCAGTTTATTTTCAGGTTATTTTTATGGAAGTCAATGATGAAACGCAATATATAAGTTTCAAATAACTTATATATGCAGATCTGAGACTTCTTAAAAAAATAAATAAATAAAAATTTAACATGTGTGTCATGAATTCAATGCTAAAATTTTGTTTACGTGTAATGGCCCTCAGGCCCTAAGGCTATTGCACGTAAATAAAATTTTCACATTGCCTCGATGACACACAAAGATGTAAGCGGTAATAAAACATTAAATGCATTCCAATATTAATTATTAGTACTGAAAATATATACTATTATACAGTTACATATATATGTACAAATAATATAGATTTTCAGAAGTGAGTATAAATATCGGAACGCAACTTTAGAGTAAAAAAACTAAAAGCACTGTAAGCCATTATAAAGGAAAGTATTCGTATAAATATTGTAAGACTTAGATAGTAAGCGAATTAATCAATCATAGTATTTTTGCGAGTCTCTTTCTCGTCTCTCTCATTATGATTGATTAATTCGCGCTTACTGTCTAAGTCTTACAATAATAAGATTATTATTAATAAATTTTACGTATGTTTTTTTTTCAGATGGACAATCCATATACATTTACATTAATTATAATAGTATATAATAAGTTAAATAGTTTTCAGAGTTCAACGTATTTTATTTTATTAAATATTTAATTGCAAATTCAGTAAAAATTTCTTTTATTAAGTTTTTATTAATATATTTGTGCGTTATTGCAAAATATTTTTTATTTATATTAATTGTATATTTTTTATTTGTATATGCGATTATTATTAATTTTACAATAAAAACAGAAAACATTTTTTACAATTTCTGCATTTTTGTGTGTGTTTCCAATCGTCTTCTTTAATATTTGGCTAGAAATATTTTAGAAACATCCATAAATCATCTATATCATCTCTAGTAGATGTTCATTATTCATTTATATAACCTCTAATGGATATCCATTATCCATCCATCAGTTTTTGAAATATCCATAATTATTCTGTATTACATCCATATGACATCTATGAGTATGTCTAATAGATGTCGAATGGAAGTAGCAAATGCGGAACTATGGATGTCTAGTAGAAGTCCATAAGAGTTTACGTGGACGTCTAATGGAGGTTTTGAATTTCCATGATGGACGTCTACTGAACATCCATTAGAGGTTTTTGTTCCGTGCGGGATGTTTTAATTATCTTTATTAATATAAATTAAAAGTATATATATTAATTTATAAATTAGAAATACAGAAAATTTCTAATTTTTTAATTTTTTATAAATTTTTTAAAATTACATTTCATAAAAATTTTGAAATAATTTATTCTTTATCTTTTGCTAGTGTACGTTTAATTTTTAATTATTAGTGCATTTATATTCAATTACATTTATATATAGTTTTAAAAAAGTTCAAATTTGATTAAATAAAAAATAAATAATTATAATAATTATAATTCAGTTTAATAATTTAACAATTTAATTTGATTAAATTAATTTAGGTAAAGCATATTAATTTAGGGAAAGCATATAAATTAGAAAGGCATATTATGCGTAAGCATCCTGTCGAGGCAGAAATAATAACTCGCGAACGCATATAAAGCTTCAAAAAGCGCGTGATCGGAAACATAAGAGAATGCATGATTTCAAATTGGATCTTACAAGTACGTATACATATGCAAAACTAAATTTTTAATTTATATAAATTTTAAAAGATAATATAGCATATGAAATAACGCGTATAAATATTAAATATAAATGAAAATTTATAAAAATGTATGTTATATACGAAATTAATGACTTTTTTCAACTTTACAAAATCTTTAGATATTTTCACATTTAATTAAATAATTATTTATCGTTAAAGTACTAAACTAAATCAACAAATCTTTTTTTAGTAACAACACTCATTTTATTAAAAACAATTTTTTAAGCTATAAAATTCCATACACTAATAAATAAATAAGTAAACAATGTAGCTATATACTAGAAAATGATGGTACGCGGCGCGGAGAGGGGTAAAATCGCGAGAGTAAGGACACGTGAAACGGGGACGCAACGAGCTCGCAAAATCAATAACCGTTGACGGTGTGTCCGGCGAGGGAGAGCACGAGAGTGGGAATGGCATGTGATGCGATTGGCGGGAACGCGAGAGCAAGAATACGTGAAGCGGGGACGCGACAAGGTCACGAAAATCAATAACCGTTGACGGTGCGCCCTCCGAGGGGAATCCCGAGAGTAGGGATGGCACGTGACGCGATTGGCGGGAACGCGAGAGCGGTGGGAGCGCACTTCTCTCTCTCTCTTTCTTTGTTTCTCCCTTTCTTTCACTTGCGGGGATATACGACGATTTGAATATTATATTGTCGTTCGCTAGGCAGGACGTATCGAGAGGGGGGGGGGGGAGAAGAGATATCGTTACAAATTTTGTGTAGTATAAGATATAATGCAGTAAACAATACACAAATCAAATATCAGGATACACATAATATACATTGAATCGTGTAGCGTAGATATGACATCATGAATATAATTCAGTGTTGAATTTTATCGCAAATTATAGATTGCACAATTCGATCAAAACATATTTTAATTTTTCGACCCACCCTATTGTATATATGTATGCTATGCGTAATATAACTTCTCGCAACCTGTTTCCCTTGTAACTTTTTATATGCAGTGTGGACTTCATTACGTGGATAGAGAGGTCCGGAATGCCAACGTATAATAAACAGAGTATATATATATATTGAGAAATGTATGTATTTGTATTTATTGCGAATTTTTCTTCTGACAATCTTCGTTCTGCGATGTGTTCAATGAGAGAAGGCCGTTTCCCCGAAAGTCAGGATTTTTATATACGAGTTTCTCACATATGCTCTACTCCTAAACAACGGGCCAAACGATTCTAAAATTGTTTAATAATTCAAAGCAGAGGCGGATGTATCGTCACTTCTCCCACAAAGGAGCTATCGATTTTCGCGAACACAAAATAAATAATAATAACAGAAGTAAGAGATTATACAAATAAGTCGAATAACAAAGTATTATCGACTAACGGCTTTCTCTCTATAACAAAATATATTATAGCTAACAGCTTTTTCTCTGACAAAATATATAAAAATGCCTACGATTTCCTTTACATGGATACCGTTTTTTATTTGAAGTATAGTTATGCCATTCTATTTGTTTTTTAGTTAACATTTCTTTCCGTTTTTGCTTTTGTTCTAATACTTCTTTTTAATAAAACGCCTTTTATGCCGTAATTGACTTTCCACATTATAAGAATTCAAATATTCTTTCACAATTACAATTTTATATTAAAAATCGTTATGACATAATATTTATGACGTTTCCGCGATCAAACGCAACGATGCCACGATCTTCATTCCGAAAACACTACGCAATTCAACATACTATTTCATTTTATGTAACTTTTTATTTTATTAGTTTTTAATATTATAAAAAAGCAGTAATGTTTAAAAATCTGTTTTTAAATTTAATATAAAAGAATTCATCGTTTATTGCACTTTATTTTTCAAGGTCTAATTTTGACTAATATAGTTGAGAAACAACTACTTAATTTGCATTAAGCACTGCAAATTGCTTCATTTCTGATGTGTATACCGTCTCTGTATTGGAGCAATATTATTATTATCATTACATTTATATAAAATAACTTCTATTTTCAAGCCACTGAAAGTATTATATAATAATTGTTCAAGATTTAAATTACATTATGCGTTTTTAGAATATCAATTATATTATTTATTGTTTTAATGCTTTTGTCCCGACAATGTAGGCGTTTTCGTAAAATATGCACTTCTCTTTTCAAGTTTATTTCTTTTTCTGTTATTGCTTTTTTTTTAATTCTCTTTGGCGAAACTTGCGTACAAATATCAAAAAATTTTCTTTTCTGAAATAAAATAATTAATTTTATATACTCAATAAGATAGTTATTAGTTCAGTTTCCAAGTAAATAAAGTTTATAAAAATTAATTTAGGAATAAGCAATTTTTTTTTAAACTGTACAGCTTATAAATATAATTAATTTATAAATTATAATTTTTGTTTAATTGATTTTAAGTAAAAGCATCTAATTCTAATCCAGTTTTTTAATTTAAAATTCTCCTTACAAATTCTTTTAAAATATATAAGCAATTTGAACGAGAAAAACGCAGAGTATAGTTATAAGACTGGAAAACTATTCTCACTTAATGTTCTTTTCACTCTAATTGCAATTAAATAAGAAATGCAAATTATATTTTTATTATTATGTCATTATCTAAAATGTTTTGTTTATTTATGCTAACCTGAGCAGTTTCTCTTCTGTTTTATTTTTATTAGATGTATAAAAAATACGAGTAGATGGAATAGCATTTGTACGCATTATATTGGCTTTAATGTTGGCGTTTCTGGTTAATATGTATTTTTGATAAAATGTTTTAGTTCTCATTGGTACGTAGGATCGTGAAATAATTTAAGAGACTTTATATAATATGTAAAAATTAGACTGTTTAATTTTGCAAGAGCAAGTAGATTACAATTCGCGCTCGCACGTGTGTCCGCGATAACGATCGACAGTCGAATCCTCTAATATATTCTTAACAAGGTTATTTCTTCGGTCCTATCATGTGTCTCGTTTTTTTATTTCCCGCGAGCCCGAAAAAAATTTATGACGGTTGTCATAGATTGAAGAGTTCCCATAGACAGCGTCTAACTTCGCCTTTATTTTTTCATACGTTTTCCCATCCAAAAAATAAAAAGTGGATCAATATGGCTCTTTTTCATTGTATCAAAAAATACTAAACACGTAACACGTTTAATACAA